GTAAGCTACAATGAACGGGCAACTGTAGTCAGATTTTTTTTCTCTTGATATTATTTTTCTATTTGTTTCTGAAGGTAAGGGACAACTGTTCAATATGCAAGCTCTTTGCTTGAATTTCCAGGAAATTATTCATCCATTCAAAAAATCAGATTAGATGTATTTACCTTCACTAAAGTGTCATATTTTTCGGTGGCTTTATTCTGAAGATGTTGAGCTTTTTCTGTTGCGCCTTCCACAACACTCGTCAGCAATGGAGATCGATTGATTCTCGACGTCAGAGCATCGAGTAATTTTCTTGATTGCCCTGACATTATCAAAAATCGATTTCCAAAATATTCTCCAGCCAATTCAACTCCGGAATTATCCGGCACTTACAGGTTAGAATTCACATCGTGATTGACACCATGTACTTGGGCTGATCTCCACTGCCTCCACTGGATGCAATATGTGAGACGATCGCAATTATGGAAACACGGTATTATTATTGTTTTGCATGGACAGCTGCAAGTGGAGGGGCTCAAAAATCACATGTGCATTCAGAATCTGAAACCAAGCGATAAGGTATCATGTATTTTTTTTCTTTGTCAGCGTCACTCAGTTAACCATTGTCCTCTGGCAGCGCTGCTCATAACCACATCCTGTTTCCATCAATTATTTCAATTGATTTCTCACGAATATGCACTGTTCCATCCTTGCATCCCAGCCTCCCTGTACGTATCATATTCACGAAAATTTTGTTACTACTTAATTGTAATGCATTAACTCAGGATTGTTAAGAGAATATTAATAAATTGTTATCGTATTCAACAGGGCGGGGAGGATGACTAATCGTCGAACGAATAAAACCATCATAATATCCGATTCAGATGAAGAATATAATCCAGCTCCCAAGAAAAAGGTTGTCACCAAGAAGAAGCCAAAAGTGCTTAAAATATCGGATTCCGAAGGGGAATCGAAAAAAGTGAAACCAAGAGCCAGTAAAAAAGCAAGAGAGACCACAGGAAAACCTCTATCCGATGAAATCAAAGTTTCATCCTCAGAGACAGTAAAGAAATCTAGGAAAAGAAAAAGTGAGGAGTCAATAGAGATGGGGGGATTATTCAGTCAGACAACAAAATCCAGCGAATCGAAGAGAGTGAGAACACAGGAATTTCTTGCTGGGTCTCAAGTTTATCCAAGAAGCGTCTATCCAACATTAGGTCGTCCTCAAGAACAACCAATCGTCGGAAGAAGACTTATCTCTCCAACTCGTTCTCAACCAAGTTTCCACGAACCTCCCAAAAAATACACGTCTTGCGAGTGGACTGACGTCGATTATATCGAAGTGCAACACGGAATCAGCCGATCATTAGCTCAAATACTCGTTCAATTCTTTGCAGCTGACAATACAGTGCCTTTTATAGCGCGATATCGAAAAGCAGCGACGGGTGGTCTCGAAGCTGATGAGCTGAGGTTAATAAAAGAGAGCTTTGACAGAGTGAAACTGATACAACACAAAGCGGATGTTGTGATAAAAGCCATTGAGAAGGTTAACAAGTGGACACCGGAGATCCACAGGACAGTTAAATCAATAAGATCTTTGAATGAGCTGGAGCATATCCACAGCCTCTACAAGACCACTAAAAAATCTCTAGCAGAACGGGCAAGAGATCTCGGTCTCGAGCCCACAGCCATACTTGTCCTCCGTGGAGGGGCCATTCCACACCTGGCGAGTTTTATCAATATCTCGAAAGAAGGCCTTCAGAATGAAGAACAGATAAAAGAGGGCATTGTTTGCATCATAGCTGATATAATAAACAAAGATAAAAGGGTATTCGACAAGATAAACGATTTGCGAAGCGAAATATCGATCCAAATACAGACCAAGAAGACGAAGACTTCCGATGAAGCAGACGCCAAGGCTGATGACAAGGCAATTAAATACGATATGTATTACGATTGGAATTCCTCGGAGAAAAATATAAAACCTCATCAGACACTGGCAATCAACAGGGCTGAATCTCAGAAGATTATCACAGTCAAGCTGATTATTCCAGATTATTTTGAGGTATCTATGAGGAAATTTGTGTTGGATTTGTATGGTTTTGCTTTGAGGGCTTCGGCTCTTCACGCTCAGCTGATTAATGAGGCCTTCAATCATGCCTGTAAGAAGTCGATGAAACCCTCAGTGGCGAGAAGAGTGAGGAGTGAAATGAACGAGAAAGCTGAGGAAGCCTCGATGGAGGTCTTCGCTACGAACGTTAAACAGCTGCTGCTGGCCTCACCAGTCCGGGGTAAGGTGGTCCTCGGTATTGATCCAGGTTTTGCTCATGGTTGCAAATTGGCTGTTGTCAGTCAGCAGGGGGATGTTTTGGAGACAGCAACCATTTATCCACATAGGAAAGATGGAAGGGGACGTCAAGAGGCTATAGCTAAACTGTCCTCACTTGTACGTAAACATCGGTGCGATGTTATTGCGTTGGGAAATGCAACTGCATGTCGAGAGACTGAGATTTTTCTGTCGGATATCGTCAAGTCTGGGGTATTTGCACCACTCGATGTGACTTATACAATTGTTGATGAGGCTGGGGCATCGATTTACAGCTGTGGCGCTGAGGCAAAAGCGGAATTTCCGAAATTGGATTGCAATGTCATATCGGCGATATCAATTGCTAGGCGGCTCCAGGATCCACTTGCTGAACTCGTGAAGATTGAGCCCAAGCATCTGGGGGTGGGAATGTATCAGCATGATTTGCCGGAGAAACAACTCATGACGAAGCTGAATGAGGTGGGTGCTGGCAAGATCTTGAATCGTTTTGTTTCTTTAGTCGTGTCGCAGCCTTGCCTTTCCCTTTCCATCTGAGGGCATATGATTTTTATAATTCATATAAATAAGATGGAATTTAATTCAACGTATCGTAAGGTTTTTATATACTTTGCATGCGCTGTATATTTAGTATAGAACGTATAGCAGTATCTTTGGTTTATAAAAACTAGTCGGGATAATCTGTAACTAGAATTTCCATCAAATCCTCGTAGTCGCGGTATCGGATTACAAACAACTATTCTATTATTTCCCCACGAGTACACTTAACGTCATTTCCATATTTGTTTGTCAGGTTGTTATGGAAGCTGCGAGTTTCGTCGGAGTTGATGTTAATACAGCTTCACAGTGTTTACTGAGACGAGTGGCTGGATTGTCGGAGACAAAAGCAGCGAATATAATTGAATGGAGAAGAGAGAATGGGCCCTTTGTCAATCGTAATCAGTTAATGAAAGTCAAAGGTATTGGGGCCAAGACTTTTGAGCAGTGCGCGGGATTCATTAGAATTCAACCAGAAACTTCAGTATCAAAAATGTCAGGCGGAAGTAATTTGATAGGATTCAATTACTTGGATCAGACGTGGATTCACCCAGAATCCTACTCTGTTTCCAATTCGTTGATCAATGATTGTGGCCTCGACGCCAAGAACATTGGCAGTAGACCATTTATCATCGCCATCAAGAATTATGCTCTTCGGGGGTACGAGTTTCTCACGAAAAAATTAAAAACTGATGACACGACTCTGGAAATTATTATCAAAGGTCTTACCATGGCTAGAGATGAGGACATTAGAAGTCAGAACAATGCGCCATTGTTCAGGAAAAGCTTGAGAAGCATTGATGATTTGGTTATTGGGTCTTTATTGAGTGGTAAAGTCAGAAATGTCACGCACTTCGGGGCTTTTGTGGATGTTGGAGTGGGTAAAGATGGACTCATTCATGTGAGTCAATTGAAAGGGGAAACTTTGAAGATTGGCCAACGAGTTGACGTCAAAGTACAAAATATTGTGAAGGAGAGAGGGCGCATTGGTTTGATTTTAATTACAAGTTATTAATTCGAACTTTTCATATTATTGGGAAGACAAAAAAGCGAATTAAGTGACTGACATCATACGATAAAGCAGAGGGAATTGTAAAGTGATTTTGATTAAGAACGGCTCATGGCTCCAGTTGTTGATTTCATTACTTTACATTGTGTAAGCTACAATGAACGGGCAACTGTAGTCAGATTTTTTTTCTCTTGATATTATTTTTCTATTTGTTTCTGAAGGTAAGGGACAACTGTTCAATAGAAATTCTATTGATCATTGAGAACGAGTTGATTCATTTGTTGTGGACCACCAGGTGTACGTGTCCACGAGTACTGTGAATTGTTATTGAGTGACCTTTCCACTTCACGTGATATTCGTTTCATTCAAAGTCCATTCCATTAATCTTTATTAAAAGGTATTTTATACTTGTAGAACGTAAGATTCACATGTGTCTTGAACGCTGAGAAAATTATTTTTCATCGAAAATCATTTTTAATGGCAATCTTTTAATTATTTTTTTACTGGCTATTGGGATTAAGATATGGGAGAAATAAAGAGTGAGTTTGAAACCAAAAACTGATTCCTGACTTTTCCGACGCCAGATCATCGCTGACAAAAGAATTGAGAAGGGAATATACGGTAAAACTGTATGAAAACCACAAGTCTGTGTTTGCAAATGGTTAAACTGAGGAATAAAAACGGAATATTTTCCACAATGGCTTTCCTGACAATTTGCAGGAGCAGTATGAATTCCCTAGACACGAGTGGTGGAAGTCTCCAACAACAGTAAAGTCAGAGGGTTGGCGTCGCGACGTCGCGACGCACCCATTTCCTTCATCGACGTAATCTGAACGTTGAAAAGTACCTCGTCTTTCGAACACTCCGGAAACAAACTCTAATACGAACTCTATCGGGGGAAAATAATGTTCAATCTTCTGTAATGGCCTAGGCTGTAATATCCATTTCAATCGATCAATCATTTTTGAAATTGCCTCCGTAAATGGTATGACTCTTCAGCAATTTTAAGCCCCCGCGGATATCGCTGCAAATAAAAACATGAAGATATGAAAGAATCGAGTGTTTTTGAAATTCAGAATTACTATGGGATTCAGAGTCAAACAGCATCGGCAAAACAAATCGATAAAGTTTATTGATCACTTTCCTGGAACTTGGGTGAGAGGGCCAGACCATTTCGACTGAGGCAGACATTTTTGCATAGAGAGACAGACATTTAAGAGGATTACAGGGAACGACTGAATTTCGCGGAAAGGCAATAAGCACCCGCACGGTTCGTGGGCTTGATATCGACTCAGGGATGTTAAAGACTTGTCGAAACTCCATAAAACCCAAACACTATTCCTGACCAAGCATTCTTGCTTATCTTCAAAAAAGGAAAAAACCCTTCACAAACCACATTCCCTTGGGCAAAATCAATTCACGCCAAATATCATCTCAATAAACAACCACCAATGCACTCACCATTCAACCCCTAAAAAATTATTAATTTTTACTCGACAAACTGACACGCATTGTTTTTTTTTATAAAGTCCATTTCATCATAATGAATAATCAACTAATAACAAAGCGCTTATAATTAGCGATGATAAGGCTTTTTGGGGTGATTTTAATTTGAGACTTTCCACTCCTATTTCTCTCGAGCAAATCTATTTTTCTGTGAAGAGAAAAAGTTCGGAACTTGTGACTACCACCAAAACGAATAATCATCCTCATTGCTCTTCTCGCCACAGTGCTTAGGTGCATCGGATAGCTGAGTACATGGGGTCGTTTACCTTAGTTGTGTATATGTTGGGGAGATATATAACGAGGGAGTAATTAAAAGGGGTCAAGGGTCAGGGCTGATACATTACCGCGTCGTTGACTGCTGGTGCTAGCAAAGATAGTACGTGTTGACCCAGGCTTAACACTATTTGTCAATTCACACCCATATTTTCTCCATTTTAATTGTAACATGACATTCGCTTGATCCAAGGGAAACAGTCATCCCATTGATATACCCAGTGGTCATTACCAATACGTGAACTTGAAATATCCTCGATTTTCCGGGAATATCTACCGCGTGATGGTATTAAATTACACGATTTATCTCTGGACGAGATCATAACGCTTCACATACCACAGACATATTCAATTTCCTGCTCCATATGATAAGGCACGGACTTTCTAGGTACAGTCGAACAACCACGGTATGCAGAAACCCTTATCGAAGGAGTGAAAAAGGGATACGAGTTGAAAATATTCGCGGAATCGTCATTAACCAATTTTTACTGGCAGCTGCAATTGCAGGACCTAATACCCCAATTGCCCAGTAGTATCACCTGGAACTCGAGATCAATCTAGAAAAGAAGTGCTCTGGAACTTGAAGTCAAGTTGAGGAGTAATTTCTGGAGAATCTGGGGAGTGAAACGTCACGTTATGTAACGGATGTGCAAAAGGCATCGAGATATTGGATGAGTACGAGAGGAAAGTTCTATAGGCGTCAGCCCAGTTTTAGTCTCGTGAATAGATTGGCTTCCTGGTGGATCATTGACCCTTACACTGAGCAAGTGAGAGAGAGAATGGCCATCAGATTGCCCGGATGAGAACCAGTCGGTCCCAAGAAGGAAAAAATAAGTCTTGGATGGCGTTACATCGAGAAAAATATATATTTCTGCGAAGAATCTATTAAATTGAGACAAGTATGTGTTTTTTTAAAATCGTATGTTCCCAACTCCGGCATTTTATCACTGAAATAGAAAATTTTTTATCCCCACGGGTATTTATTCGTGTATATATGTGAAACACCCGTCGCCAACTGTTTTCTGTTGTCTTATAATTATTTAAATCAAGCATATAACTCGGGATTATCCGGATGATCGGATTTGCTGGATGACTTATACCCATTAATCGTCAGAAGAGGTATTGCAGTCATCTTCGGGAGTTTGTCATTTATAATGACCATTATTGCTGAAGATTGCCGGATATTTTGACGATTATGTATGATAATTATGTACGATAACTAGGCGACGGGTTCTAGGGGTGTTGAAGATGTTATGGACGTCGGACTCCAAATTATCGTAAATTTATCCCGGTTTTTTACAGCCTACGGAGAGAATATTGTCCACACATGTCGAATATACTGGAAGCCAGTGTCTAGACCGTGACGAAACTTTATATAAAATAAAAAATTCTGAACGCGTTGTACCGCGTATTCGTGCAGTACAGGTCAATTGGAGGGTGGAAAGTTTTCAGGGGAAAATATAGGCGTCGGGTGTTTCGAATTTTCGCAAGAGTGACCCGTGACAGAGTTCATTTTACCGAGAGTAACTGATTTGGAATTATTTCGTGAATTCATCCATCCAATTAATGACAGCACATGAAAAACAGGAAGTCATGTAGAAAGAGAAATTTTCGGGATGAATCGGAGGTAATGAATAGAAAAGGGGCGCAATGTCCGTCACATTGCAATTCTTATAAAAAAATCACCAGTTATTTATGAAGATCGACGATAGGAAAAATGATAATCATTTTAAAATATATTGCAAATATTAAGTTTAATTATTGAGCTATTTTTTTTCTTGATAAAACAGAGAGGAAATAAACTAAAGAACTCAAACGATATTTTTACATTATTCAATGACTGATATTAGTACCTGAAATATACGGCTGTACATGTCCTTATATTTCTACATGACACGTGCAAGTTACATCAGGTGCAGGGACACTCGTAGCAATTGGAATGCAGGATATAGTATCAGGATGGAACTCAATATTCTTATGCCCCACTGAAATATAATTTACTATCAGCATAACATGACTGCACCTGGAGAGTTATTCCCCAGAATACCGATCGAAGATGATTTCATTCCAATCAATCGAAATACATCGATACCTCACGTTCGACATTCACGATTTTTCATCCTTTCGTTTTACCCAACAATTTGTTGATAATTATGATTTTTATTAGTATTACGGAGTCTTTTTAAATAATTTTAAATGAGAATTTCTATAGTGGAGTAAAGTAGAAAGAGGAAATACTGGATAATATTGAATTCAGAGATCAAATTAAGTTCTTCTGCTGATGACACTCGCTCCATCTTGAAGCACTGATTCTTCACCCATCCATCATCTAAATTCGTGCGAATATTCTTAATTATATTCCATTTCCGAGAGTTGTCCTAAAGTGGGACGATTATACTTACAGAGATGATGAATGTCTAAGTATGAACTAGACAACTCGAATATTCTGATCTCAGTCTTGAAATTATGACACCATTTCTCGACTAAATTAAATCAAAATCACGTCATTCGCTGAAATAGCTGGAATGAAGAATTGAATTCTTTGAGCTCATAATAAAAACATTATCTTTAATTGGATGATCTTAATTAACGAAGGATTTCAATTATCATTGAAATAAAAAATGTGAAATTACTTGGATTCACGGATAGAGTCGTCAATTTTTGACAGTGTCCGTCAGTTTCTGAATGGCCCGTCGGAAAAACGTAGTCAAGGTGCAGCTGGTGCAAGACGTTTGATGCACATAGACAATCCTCTGCTTACTCATCCGTTACGCAAGAACTCATCCGTAAATTTTCGTACCTTCTATTATGGCTTCTTCTCCTCCACTCCATCGTCATTACGGATTATTGAGCCGTAGGTCCGATCGTTAGCCAATTGATGGAAGAGCTTCAGTTTATCTGAAGGGTCATTCAATTCTGTCACTCAGGGGCACGACAGAGACGCCCACCCGTACCAATTCACCGAGGATTTAACCCCCGATCAAAAAAAAAGATTCGCCCTGTTCTCTCCTAAAATGACTTAACGATATTTTCAGTCGTGAATGTGATTTCAAATCACTTCGACTCATTTTAAAAGCTTCTCCCAATTTTATTATTTCAAATGATTTCACGTAATTTTAAATTATCAGAAGTATGTATAGATCATATGAAGTAACTTTAACCCCTTGAAATGCGATGACTTCAATGATTTCAGAGGATAAGAGGAGTGATTTCATGTAATTTATTAGTGGATTATTCCTGGGGCTTGAGGTTGAATTCCAATAGAAAAATGTCATAATTTAAAATCACAATTTGCGCACTCAGAAGACCATCAACATTTTCAACCCAACAGAACCAAACACTGTACCTTTTTAACGAAGGAAGTCCTACTAGCTTAATGAGGCAATTAGTTGGAACGAGGTCGCAAGAAATATCGCGTTTCCGTGCTCAGACCGTGATACACACTTTCACGTGTCTAGAGTCTCAAGAATTTCTGATTTCGTACACCAGCTACATCGTCCCTCTTTTTATCGAGATGAATGGTGTACATCGTGCAGTGTAAGCAAAGTTCCTCTATTATTTTTATTACACTCACTCATGACTTTCTTTTCGTTCATATCTTTGGAATTGAAAAAAATCCCCGACAGCGACATTTTTGAGGGATACGGAAGCAGAAATACTCCGGTTTTGGGTTCGAATGTGAATGCGATGAGTATTTTTCCCGGAAAAATCAGAGACAAATTTGTAACAGTTGCAGTTAAAACCAGAAGTGGCAAAAGACAAAGAGAAAAAGGTTGCTTTCAATTTCTCACCAACATTCAACTTGGGATGTCTCTTGTCGACACATCAGACATCGTGGACTGATGCACCCCGCGTTAACGTTTTATAATGGAGACTATGTACCAACACATTATATACATGCAGGTATATGACGTATGCAGACGGTTGAAATGCAGTTTTGAGGCGTCTAGGTTGACAATGGCGTGTGTGAAAGTAGTAACAAAAAAAAGATGGGAATAAAAATTTACGAGAATCCAGAAATAAAAGGGCAGAAACTGCCGACGGTGGTTTGCGAGAAAGAAAAAGTGGAAAAGGCGCATGAGTTCTCTCGACTCAATGCCAAGTTCGACCGAGAGAATTTCCGTCTGATCCTTTTGTATACTTTCTACAACTCCATCTTTTTGTGGTATTTTT